TGCACAAAGGTCTTAAACGTGGAGTATCGATGATCTCAAACTACCATTAGAACCTTTAAAAGTTAACCTTATATTTGTGGTGGTGCTCGACAATCGTTTTTAAAATGGCACGTTCATTTCCGCCTTGAAAACATAGCCGCCATAATAAAGCGAACACTTCAATCTTTAATCTTAAGCATTCCTGGCAGTTGATGGAATCCCACAGTTCATTTATGTATTTCATCGTTAGTGTACTTTCGTCGTCTATTTGGCAACAATGGAATTGCCTAAATTGAGCTTGAGTTGAGCACATACTTGAATTTCCATATTAAGTATGTATGCTGAGAAAAGCTTCGTTTGAATCAGGCCAATGGTAAAATTATTTATTAACCACATTCTATTATTATTAACAAGTATTTTATGCACAACCATTGGTATATTCTGTTATCCCGTTTTAATGGATGTTGAGATCCGACTTGTTATTATAGCATGAATAAGTTGCTTTCCACACAAATTTCTGACTGTTCCTAGTTCCAATCTGCATCTCCTATATAAAGCATGGGCTAAATATACATATTTTAAGGAAAAAATCGTGTGCTAAGTATACAATTTTTTGTGATTTTCGTTGATGATTCAAAAACAAGTGAAACAAATTTAAAATGAATTGTTCTGAACTACTTATGGATAAACATACTCTATACACTCAAATACTATTAGAGTGTTAGTAAATATTGAAGAAATATTTGAACATTTCAACGATTTATAGGAAAAAGCGTGTTAGTATACAGTTCTAATTTATCATTTTGCTTGATGATTCAAAAATTGGTCAAACAATTTCTGGATGAATTATATCATAACTAATGGATAATACATTTGCGTGTAAACATATATTAATTTTTTTTTTAATATTTTAAAGATTTCTAGGTAAAAAACGTGTGCTATATAGTATACAATTCTTTTATGATTTTACTTGACAATCCGAAAACTAGTGAAATAATTTCTAGATAAACTTTTTCTTCACTACTAATAGATAAACATCTTCTATACTTTATATTTGTATGTTAAAAAGTATTAGAAAAAATGTTGGAACATTTCAGCATGTTTTAGAAAACACTTCGCGGATGCCAAATTATATCTAGAATCAAACTTGGAGTACAAAACATTGATTGCCAAGGCCCTGATATATCAGTCTGGTAATGGAAGTTATTTGAAACTTGCATCAACCAAGATTGGTTGCAAAGAGGTGGAGAGAATGGCCACTTCAGCTAAAGCTTCAATAAGCGAAAATGATAGATCTATGGAAAAGTTGAGCTTGCCAGTGTTTCTTGTTACGGTCCCCGATCGCACCGAGAAAGACAAGTTTTGTTCACTGAATGAACCACATTATTGGAGGATAGACAAGAACGAGGATGGACAAGAACGGTCAAAGGAGCAAGAGTCAAACCATTGCAATCTCATGAGGAAAGAGTTGATGATGCTTATTATTGGCTTAAGTCCAGTAGCGCATGAGAAGACACTTTATGTTGTACCTCAACCTCAATGGCTTAGAGAAGCTTGTGATCCAAAATCATATGACCTATTAGCTAAGTTGGTGATCGCGGTATTGAAGTCAATCCTACTAAAATAGATGCTATTCAAAAGATGCCCGCACCCGTAAACTTGAAAGGGTTGAGAAGTTAACAATGAAATCTTGCATTCATAAGGAGGTTTATAACAAATCTCGCTGGAATATGTCAACCATTCAATCACCTTATGAAGAAAGATGCGCCTTTCGAGTGGGATGAAGGACGTCAAAATGCTTTTAAAAGTATACAGAAGTACTTACTGAATTTTCCCATCTTAGGATCTCCTACACCCGAAGAGCCACTTATATTATACATAGCGGCTCAAGATAGGTCCGTTGGTGCTTTCTTCTGCTTAGTCTCCTAGCTTTCTTTCCCATTACGTTCAATTTCTTGAGTAACTCTTTCTTAGTAGGCTGTCTATCCACAAAACTATCATCATCTGATGAGCCTTCAATATCATCCAGTTCCTCATTTCGAGCATTTGACTCCACATCATCCTCAAAAGACTCCTCAGCCTCAATGTAGTCATCATCGGCCGCTATATTTTCTCCAAATTAATCCTCACTCTTTGTATTTTCTTACTCATCATCAGCACTTGTATTTTCTTGCTCACTAGCCCTTGCACTTTCTTGAACTTCATCAGCTTCAATACTTACTTCACCATTCTGCTCATATAGTACTTCAGGATAAATGATATTTCCATCAATTGCAAGCAATGGCGCTATCCCAAATTCTTCAGTGTGCAATGTAAGATAATTCAACCCTTCATGTACATTCACCATAAATGAAATACCAATGTCACTATCATAACGTTTTAGGTACATTCGAGTGTTTCCTCATGGTACAAGAAGTAGAACCTTACATTCAGCTTTCTACCCCCAAAGTAATGCTAAATCTGGTACAACATATCCATGTTCATGTAGTCTAAACGTACTCTATCAACCTCACTGCTTCTTCCTCCAATATATCTCTATATTGGTTCATGTACAAATGTTCGATCTAACCAAACAACAACTTTTCAAAGTTGTCCATCTGCATTTAAAAAACAAACAAAATGAAATATGTTAAACAAATGTTCAAACTCTTCGACAATCAGAAACCCTAACAAACCACACTAAAAATATCCTAAAGAAACCCTAAAGTAATTTTAAATATAACATTACCCACGTGCTCCCTCAATTTACAGACAACATATGCCTTAAAAATAATAAAATTGGAAAAATGGACCACATACACAAGAAATTTATTTTCCCACTTCTCGTTTTTGTTAACTTATGTGGACTTTTTTCGTACTTTATGCATCTTCTTGGAATATTTGAGTTGTAAGGTATATCTTTCAATTTGTTTTTTGGGGATTTGTGGGTTGTGGTCTATTTTCTCTATTTTATTCTTTGTAGGGTATGTACGAAAAAAGTCCACATAAGTTAACAAAAACGAGAAGTGGGAAAATAAATTTCAATTTACCTCGTAAAAAATCAGTAATTGCAGAAATTACTTCAACGGGCTTCTAGCTGTCACCCTTTTCCATTCATCTTCTTCGTATATATATATATATATATATATATATAATTTTTTTCTGTAGGGGCGGAGGCCCCCCAAGGCATACCTTGGGTCCGCTCCTGTATATGCATAAATGGGTACGTACCTATGTGGTGTTTCACGACACAACACTGGTGGTTTTTGTAGGTTTATTTCAGGATTCATACGACAAAATAGGGATTTGCAGACAAAATGGATTTTTAAGGTTTCAGGTTATAAAAATTTGGGGTGGGTCGCGATTTGGGGGGAAGAGCATTTTTGGGAGTTCAATATATCTTCATTTATTGACATCATTTCACGTCAATCAATGGGTTTTATTTCGATAGGGGGCAACGAGCTGAACAAAACCCACCACAGTAGATGTTGGAACCACGGGTGCACTTTGACGAACGATCACGAAATTGACGGATTGAAACTTCTACTCTATTTGCTCTTTCTTTTCATAGTTGATAATTAGCTGCAACAATATACTTACTATACTGCAGATAAAACAAGGTGAGGCGCGGACTAGGTCGCTCTCTTAAGACGAAATTCACGTCCCCTTCTCTAATGAGGTGCATAAAGGTTCCGATCGTGTCGCGTACGGGATACAACAACCCGCTATCTCTCCGCTGTAACTTCAATGAAACTGCACGTTCAAGTAAAGCAGAAGCTTACATCCGATACACAACAAATGCTCAACATATGTGTATAATAAAGAGGATATATAATCTTTAGAAATATAATTTTCTTTCTCTACTCTCATACCTTTACAAAGCTACAAAAGCCCTTTTATATAGTAAATAATATGACCACCATAAAACCTCTATTTAATATAGAATTAAAGGAAAATATGGAGGTTTTATGAGACAAAATAAAGTATTTATAGCTTTCAAAATATTTCTCTAAGTGACCTCATAAATTGGTCAAAAAAAATTTAATAAAATATTATTTTTATAAAAAAATCCCAACAGTAGACATGGCCACGGGCCCCCGCCCTGGACCCAGACCGGGACCCGAGTTTGCATGGATCGGTTTCGAGTCTTGTTTTTGTGGACCCGAAACCCGACGGGTCGACCCGAGGACCCGGACCCGAGACCCGACCGCCCGAATTTAATATGAAATATAACAAAAAATGCATATGGTTTGAGGCTTGAACTTGGATTTCCCGAGTGGTTTAGTAGAGTGTTAACCATTCGTACAAAACAACTCATTATACTAATCCTAACTATAAACATATAAATATAAATAAAACTGTAAAATGATTATAATAATTATAAACTTGTGTTTAATAAATTATTAATTCTCATATTCACTATTATTAATATTAAAAATCTCCACTAATAACAAATGCATATATATTTAACTTTGAAAAATATAAAAAATTACGGTTCTACCCGTGTAATTTAAAATAAAGATTGAATTTTGAATTTTGAAAATTTGAAAAATCTCTCAATTGTTATTTTCATTTATAAATACCCATAATCCAATCTTCACAACCTTCATTTTATTTAGTTTATGTCTCAAGGTCTTATCTATTTAGTTTATGTCTCAAGGTCTTATCGTTTCATTTTTTCTAAAATTGTTTAGTGTTTAAATTTAACTTTTTTTTTTTTTTTAAATTTTGAATTTAAAGTTAATCTCAAGTTTTTTCAAGTTTCAATTTACTTTTTTTTTTTTGTTCTTTCTTGTAGTTATTTGGAAATACAAAAAAAACAAAAAAAAAATGAAATGCCTGTTCGGACCCGAACACGAGTTGGACCCGGGTGGACCCGCCCCCGACCCGACCCGACCCATGGCCATATGTCCACACCACAAGGAGGTTTATGCCAAATGTTTCTAACATAGGGGCTTTTACAGAAATTAGACATTTCATAGGGGCGTGTGTGCAATTAACTCAAAACGAATACTAGAAAAACCCCAGTCCGGAGAGACGAAAACACTCAAATCTCCGTTGCTTCATGAGAATCTCCCCTTGACCAAAGGTAAGAAACTTCTCAATTTCAATTTCAATTTCACGCTATGTGACGAAAAATGCTGTGATTTTGTATCAGGCTTGTGCCTTTTTCTTCCGATTCCTCTTATTTCTGTAATTGAATTTCGGTTTTGTCGGAAAATTAATTTTGAGTTTCTTAAATCAGCAATAAATTGGATTGAATCCTCTATAGCAAAATTAATCAATTTAATTTCGTGAAAAAAGGGTATTTTTCTTCCTAATTTTAGTTGCTGTTAAAGCTTAATTTTTTCAGCAAGCTGAATGATAGGTTGACCTAAACTGTTCCTTTTATGCTTTTATAAGGGAAAATTCTTGAATTTTTGCAAAGTACTATTGGGCTTGTTTATTTATTTATTTAATTATTTTATTTTTCTTTTCTTATTGTCATTGTTTTATGGTTGGTTTATATGGTGAGTGTGACGATAGATGGGCAGTCGAACGACTCGATCGAGGAAAGGTGAAACGGAGCAGCAAGTGGAAAATCAATCACGCGCCAAGTGGACGGTGTCGTTAACTAAGACGCTTGTGGATTTGATGGTTGAAGAGATTCACAAGGGGAATAAATCGAACAAATCTTTTAGCAAGAAAGGGTGGAAATTCATTTGCGACAACTTCCGCATTCAAACGGGTTACTGGTGGGATAGTGAGCAGTTGAAGAGCCGTTACATTGCCTTACGGAAGCAGTACGTTTGTGTCGCTGTGCTGTTAGATAATCCCGATTTCAAGTGGGATGACGCAACTTGTGAAATCTCTGCCGTGGATGAAGCCGCATGGGAAAGATATATTAAGGTATATATATATATATATAATATATATATTTGATTAATATCTATTCTCTGATATTGTGGGTGTGGTACGAGCATGGTAGTCAAAATCGGGATTTTAAGTAAAATTGGAAGGGAAAATGGTCGGGGTTTTTACTTAGGCTTCGCTTTTCTTGGAGAAGGGAACAATCGGGTTTTAGCCCAACAAAGGGAATCCTAGCCTAATTTTGATCGAAAAGCAAAAGAAATTAAAATCCTAGTAAAATCGTAGATTGTAAGCAATAGTAAAATCCAATGAGGTTTAGGCTTATGATCGGGATTTTAATACAGTAGAACCTCGATAAATTAATACTCGGTAAATTAATAACCTTGATAAATTAATAGTTTCTCTCGGTCCCGACTCGGCGAAAATGTGTTAAATTATTAACTCGATAATTTAATAATTCGCTAAATTAATAGAATGTCCCTAGTCCGACTGTATTATTTTATTGAGGTCTAACTGTATGTATGTATGTGTTGTGAAAAAATCTTTTTCAGTAAGTTGAACCCAAAAACAAAAAAAAAAAATCCTAATAAAATAAGATGGTGAACAGAACCATCCGGATGCTGAGACAGTAAGAAGTATGGGGTGCCCGATATACGAGCAGCTAAGAATAATATTTGGTGAAACGAAAATAAAAGACAACGATGAAGGAATTTCTTCTTCGTTTCCTTGTCCAACGGTAAACGACGTTGTAAAACTTGAGGAGTTTTCGCCTTCAGAATCGGACAAGTATAATAATGCCGATTTGCCCAACCGCAAAAGGGGCCGTAAAGGAATTGAAGATGCAATTGCGAGGGGTATAATGGAGATTGCATCTTCTATGAAACTGAGGGCAGAAGCTATAAGCAAGTTCAATAGCGAGTTCTCCATAAGTGATTGTGTTGGTGCGTTGGACGAATTGCAAGGTGTTGACGAGCATGTTTACAATGCCGCTTTGGATCTATTCGTTGACCGTAGTGCGAGGGAGACTTTCTTAACTCTACGTGTCGATAAACGGTTCATCTGGTTGCAAAGGAAGTGTTTATTAGCGGATACTCTTATTATGTAGACTTATCGCAATTTCTTTGTTGATATCGTCTTCTAGGTATTGTTACTTTGTACATAAATCAACCACATTTTTTTTCATTTTTTAGAATGACCAATTGTTATTCTTTTTTGAAATGAAATTTGTATTCTTTAAATCATGAGGAATTCATTTTCTCCCCCATTTAGATGATGTTTTTGCCATTATATCGGAGTAAATTTCAAGTGTCTATATTCAATAGTCACATAAGGGCAAAACTTTATGTCCCGAGGTGAGGTATGAAATATTGGAGTGGATTTCGGATCTTCCCTCAAAGTCGGATAGTCTAATTAGTTTGCGCATATTGCCTCGGTGACGGAGTAGGGTATGAATTAGTTTCAGAATTGTCTAATTTGATACATTCGGACCGATGATATAAGCTCCGATGATTTCAATTTTCAAAACCCAGAATGGCTTTGGGATTTACTGGGATTTTGATTAGCCTGAAAAAAAATCAACATATGGCGTTTAATGGGTTGAGAATTTAACATGTATTGAAAGGAAAAATTACACTTTGCATCCCTCAAGTTTGCATCGATTTCATATTTGGTCCCCGTTCACAAGAAACATATTTGGTCCCTCATGTTTCAATAATTTAACAAATTTGGTCATTTCCATTAGTTTACCGTTAGTCCGTCAATTAAGGCTGATGGGCACACGTTTGGTTCCGTTAGTTTTCACTAAAAATTGACATAATGGACTAAAAATGTTGAATTTTTGAAACATGGAGGACCAAATGTGTTTTTTGTGAACATGAAGGACCAAATGTGAAATGAGTGCAAACTTGAGGGATGAAAACTGTATTTTTCCCTGTACTGACACAAAACAAGGACAACCTAAAATGAAATCAAATTGCTTATTCTAAAATGAAAAAAGCAAGGACATTTCTTTGAACATAAAGATTTGCATTCTGACATTGGCATAAAGAAAAAAATCGACTGACTCATGATTGTCTGTGAATAGATTTATATGTTAAATACCTATAAGTACATATCAATAAGTTAATTGAAAGGCCTGATACTTTGATGGGTGGTTATATGCACATGCGCCATTTTAGCGTATATACGTTTTTTTCCATAATTATTTTACCTTTTTACTTTAAGTTTTTACCATTTTATATATATTTTTTTCCAAATCCTATAAGTCTTTAAAAACCGAATTTGAACATTCAATTAAAAAAACATTAGATATTCAACAATTTCTGAAATGGATGCAACGAATATAGACCCGGAAGTAATGTTTTCATTTTTTTCTCGAATCTTCAAGTTCTCGTGTGATATTACGTGAGCACATGTCATGTGTTCGCGCAAAATCACGAGGAGATGAATAATTTTTTTATCTCTTTTCTTTTTTGTTCGTGTTATTTTACGCGTGCACCTTCTCAGTGGTCGTGTGAATATACGCGTGTCCTGAGTCGGTGCTCGCATAAAATCACGCAAGCACTATTTTTTTTTTTTTTTTTTAAATAATATGTATTTTGCTTATTTTATTTATTTGAAAACATGAAGTATACATAAATGTTGATGAAGATACGGAAACATCTGAGTTAAGTACTAGACATAGGTAGATTTGGCGTATTTTTTTTTTTAAGTTTTTGTATGTTGAACTTTGTTATTGTATTTGGATGTTGAACTTATCTACGGTATTTCGATGTTGAACTTTGTTATTATATTTGGATGTTGAACTTTGTTATTTGGTTTTAAATTTAAATTTTGTAACATTAAAAAAAAAGAAAACAAAATAATATATATATGTCTACTCGCGTGATTTCACGCGAACAAAGACAATTTGCTCGCATGGTGTCCAGTGAACCTATACAAATTTGGCACAAGTTAGAAAAAAAATATTACGGACGCATGCCCTATCTAAATTACAAACTAACTTACATCTCTTTCTGACATTTCGTCGAGCTGCTTCCGATAATACTGCAATTTCTGCCTACAACAACCGCCAGAGACCCACTTTCTGCACCGAGGCTCGAACTCTGTATATGTCGGGGAAACCTTTGGTTGAAAAAGCAAGGAAAATACTCAAATATCCAACACTGAAAAAAAACACAAATCGTATTAAAAACACCAAATATTTTACAAAAAATAAATAAACAAACAAAAAGTTAGAAAATAGTAATATAGTTACCAGAAGGAGAATCTGGCACCCACAAAGTCCGTTCATTCCAACGCGAGTAGCAATACCCAATTGTCGGTACATGTTTGCTAAGCACGCCGCAGCCCACGAATATTGGCCGACTCCATCGATATCATTCGTATAATGAATCCACCACGGCTTCATCATCGAAAATGTTTTGTCTACAAACAAAACCGACCCCAGTAGAAACATCAGATATCCTTGCATCTTCTTCTCGTCCGTGGCAGATGGCTTGCTCAAGAGCTCTTGCACCTTTGTCCAATTAATTCCCTTATTTCGAAACATGACAGTCGTAGTCATCACCCCGAGCCCCAACAGAGATGCAAGACTTTGGGAATACTCTAATGATTGGGAAACTTCTGCCACTAACGGTCCGTCCACCCGCAACCCCATGATGAAAGCAACTTCGTGGAGCGTGATCGTCATCTCTCCTCAAGGCATGTGGAAGTTGTTCGTCTCCGGCTGCCACCTCTCAACAAACGCTAACATTAGTTGTGGATTCATATCGGGGAGCCAACAGTGTCGTAAGTGGTAAAGCCTAATTGCCGCCAACATGCTAATCATCGTGTCATCCTGCGGGCCGAGGTAGGTTTCCAGTGCTCTATTTCTCGACTCGACCCATCCAGTAGCATGACGTTCCTAATTAATTTCATTTATTAGATAGCGAAAACACAAATTAAAAAAATATATAAAACACGTATTAAAGACAAACTTACACGTCCATCCCAAACATAGATCGCTATATGCGACTTGAACCAACCATAAACTCTAAATTTTCCGCCCCTCCCTCGCACGAACCCTCCAAATACGGCGGACCATCCAAAATTCAAAAATTTATACCACGACCACCTTTACGTGCCGGCTCCCCGACATCATAATCATTATTAGCCACCATCTCCTCGTCATCATCGCCGTCATCATTAGCCACCATCTCCTCGTCATCATCGGACACGTACTGCAATTGAGTATGAACATGACAGACTTGAAGATCATCGGCAATAGGTACAGAAGGCCGGACTCCGACTGCAGTAGCTTCTTCCCTCACTCTCTTCACTTCTTCTCTTGCCGTCGCTTTTCTTCTACGATCGGATGCAAGAACTCCCGATCTTCAATACCACCCGGATCATCCGAATAGTTCGACTTCCGACCCAAAACTTTCATTAAACTCTTACCTTTTCCCGCAACTTGACTCATTAAACTTTTCCCCTACCTCCGGCCATCTACAATTCAACAGAAAAACTGAATTAGTATTTCATTTAAAAAAAATAATAAAAAATAAAAATAAAATTAAAAAAATTAAAGTTGCTCGTGTGAAAACACACGAGCAAATCAATTTTACTCGTATGCAGGCACGCGGGGAAAATAGATTTGCTCGCGTATTTTCACACGAGCAGCAAAAAAAAAAAAAAATAGAGCTCGTGTGATTTTAGGTGAGCTCTATGAACTGAGCTCGCATGGTTTGATACGAGTACAAACCCCATGTTCGCATAATAACACACGACCTCTATATTTTTTTTTTTTTTCAATAAAAAACATACGTATTTTCAAAAAGAAAAAAAAAAATTACATTCATCTACTCGCATGGTTTTACACGCGAGTAACTCCACTGTACTCGTGTAGAATCACGGGAGTAATACCAAATGCTTCGTTTTAAAAAAAAGTTCAATAATCGTAATTTACGTAACGAAACAATAAAAAAAATGTAAGAATTACCTCCGATCTGTTATCGTCTCGGTCGGGATCTGAAATCGAAGTCCAAAAGCATGAGAGAGTTTGTGACGATATTTATCTTTTGATTTTTCAAAAATGGTAAAAAAAAAAAAGTGTATGCACGATTAAATGGTGCCTGCACAGATCATTTCAGTATTTTGATTAGTTAAAAACCGCAAGTCTTTTTGTTTGAATAGTTGCACAAGTTTGATAGTTGGGGTAATTAATTTGATTAATTGGGCCACTTTAACTTATTTATTATGACTTGGGCTAAATAATTAAATAACAATTTTAAAAATCCAAATTCAAAAGCCTAAGTTGAAATGCGGGGCAATTGTTTTTTTAGATTATAGTTTTTAAAATAGGGTTGTTTTGAGGGTGTAACCGAATTGGCGTTGAACGCCGTCCACCACGGCGGCATCGGCAGGAGGCGCCACCGTCGACGGCGCCACCGACAGGAGACGCCAGCTCCAACGGCGTCTTGGTAGGCTCTTTAAATATTAATATTTTAATATTTTAATATTTTAAATATTTATATTAATATTTTAATATTTTGTGATTTTTAATTTTTTTTACAAAATAAAACATTAATGTTAGTATTAAATTTATTACATTTTATATATTTTATCCATTAGTGTGAAATTAATCATTGCATATATTTATCAAATCAACACAATAAAATGGTGTACAATCTTAAAAACATGTTGACAAAAACAAAAGGAGTTCTAGAAAATAAAAGAGTTATATAAAATAAATAAGTCCAATAAAAGAGTTATATAAAATAAATAGGTCCAAAATGAGTACAAGACAAAATGAGTACAAGAAAATAAAATTGGCACTACGAAGTCATTGCTTATGTGAACCAGTGCCACGTGCATGTATCCGTCTAGTCCTACGCGGCCTACCACGAATGTCAGGATCTGCCGGTACATCATCAACAAACTGGGTGTCATCCAGTGGATATGGAACAGAGGAAACATTATACTGTGGTCGGAACAGCTCTTGGGGACTTGAGTATCCCAAATTGAGCTCCAAATGTGGACCCCATGAAGAGAACCGAGTATCAATCGCAGGAGGATAAGGGGGTAGCTAGATAATCGGACCATGGCATATCTGGAACGTAGTTATTCGTGGATGGACCAACTAAATCTGTAAATGTGGGACCTGAGATGTAGACGCACCGAACATATCCATAAATCCTTGTGTAGTAGATAAATCGTCCATACCTCCAGTTCAATTTATTTTGTAAAAAAAATTAAAAATCAGAAAATATTAAAATATTAAAATATTAAAATTTAAAGAGAAGAAGCCGTTGGAGCTGGCGTCTCCTGTCGGTGCCGCCGTCGGCGATGGCACCTCCTGCCAGTGCCATCGTGGTGGGTGGCGTTCAACCCCAATTCCGTTACACCCCTCAAAACAACCCCATTTTAAAAACAACAATCTAAAACAACACCAAAAAAAATTGCCCCTAGAAATGCCATTGATGGCCAAAATAATATTATTTTTTGGAAACGCAAGCCAACTTGAAGATCAAGCTTGACTCTGCCCACAAGTCGGTAGACAGCCGATCGTGTGCGTCTTTCTCGAACTCTTACCATCTAGGTCATCTACAATGAATATATCTACTTGAGAGATATCAGGAAACCCACGTCTTCATCTACAACTGTGGGACAACTCCGACACACAAATCGTTTCATGAGACACTACAAGGCGTATGGACATTTGTTCGTTTGCTTCTTCGGTCAAGAATCACTGTGGAAAGTCCCAACTCGTTAGGGGTAAAGAAAAAAATAACTTGAAAATTGTGGATGAAGACAAGCTGATCAACAACACAATTCACGTGTTGCCGGTCAGAGGAGATAGTACATATAACTCGTGCAACAATTTAAGTGCTGAGGAAAAATCAAATGAAGAAGGCGGAGGATATTTGTGAATTTGACGAGAAGAGGTTAGGTAAGAACCAACAGTTGTATTTGAGGGACGAAAAACTAATCTCAATGACTGTTGAGTGTAGGTTTTACACTCAATTTATACTTTCTTACGAGGATTTTTGTGAAAATTTATTGATTAAATGATGCTTAATGACTTGGTTATTGTATTTTAGGTGAAAATTGAAGAATCGGATGTTCAGAGGATGGAACAGTCTGAAACGGGTCAGAATCAGGCAAGAATGGAAGAAAGCTAGCCGAAGATGAAAAATAGATCGGAGACAGCCAAATGGACCTGTCAGCTGATTCTCAGACTGCCATCCCGAAGAGAAAAAAAAATGTAACAGAAGGTAGAGACAGCCAATCCGAGAAAATGAACTAAATTTCGGACAGTCGTCCGACGTTCCTTGTCTACGCATTATGAGAATTGAGAATTTTAATTGCACAAGGAAACTCCTATCTATTACCAAGTCTTAAACTATAAACGACAACCTCAAGACGAAAATCTTGACTTTTTTTTGCGCAATCTTAGACTACGAAGACTTGAAGAATAATCATCAGAGTTCTTCTTTTATTTCTCTTTTTTTTTTTTAATCTATGTACTTCTTATTGACTGTCCTTACATCAAATATGTTTTATATTCAGGTTATCAGGTGCATAAAGTCCTTTTAAAGTAATAAAGTTAGTAGGGATACTAAATAAAAATACTTAACGTTACTACATGTATCTACATACTCCTACACATGACTACGGGTTCTATTGTTCCCCAATGTCATATAGGCACATCATTTTTTTCCGGGGGTCGGTTTCAACGGTAAAATTACTACACGCAACTATCAATTTTTGTGTACAAATATAGAAAAATAGAAATAAATGGTGAAAAGAAAGAAATATACCTGCGTCTAAGGTTTCCAGTTCTTCGGCCTCAGTCCTTTTTTGATGTCCTGGTAGAGAATCGTGCTCCAAGTAAGATTTAAAAAATATAAACTACAGGCAACAGTGTACGACGAAGCATGACTGCATGCGAGTCATGGATCTATAAGAACTAAGAAGAAAAAAAAAACCAACAGCAAGAGCAAGCGCAACGCAGTTTTCTGCAAAATTACATCTGTTTTTGCTTTTTGCCCCATTTTTTTATGTTGTCGACGAATTTCAATTCGACGGCGAAGAGGTTGTGGAGGTTTTTTCTGAACAAATTTGTTTGAAGATTGCATGCGGTTCAACAATTTCGCAAGCGAAAGAAAGTTTTGAGAAGATGAGATTATATGTGATTTGTTGCGTGTATGTGTATTTTTGAGAAATGCGCGCTTTTAGTTGGATTTGATTAATATTTTATTCAAAGCTCATTATACCATGGGAGTAGTATTGCACTTTCCCATCACCAGAGGAATATGCTAAAGGAAGAATTATGGACTTAAAAGGTATATAAAACTAGTACTTCACCCGTGCGTTGCACGGGGGTCAGTTTTGAAATGAGAAAAAATAATAATATGAAAACGATTATCTCTTTATAACATCACGAATTCAAGCAAAACAAAATGGATGGAAAAAAGAAAAAAATAAACTTTATCTCTTAATTCAGTGTTGTAACATATGAAATTCACTTAAATATTACAAAGAAAAAAACGCGAAACGCGCAAAACACGATATAAAAATTAAGTGAAATCATTTAAAACATATATAACTATATTTCGTGGAATTCAATTTACTACACCATGCAATCTTCTGCAAAATAACTAACTTAACAACAAATACGGTAGCAGAGAAGTAACACAATAGATATTAAAATAACCTGCAAGTTTATCACTAACGGCGCTCAATTAGTGATGCACAATGCTCAAACAATAATACAACTACTAAATATTGCAACAAAGATAAGATGTATACGCCATTATTGGTACCAATACCGATACCAATACGGATACCAATATTGATACCAATATTGATAACAATATTAATACTAATATCGATATTAATACTGATACTAATATCGATACTAATATTAATATTAATACTGATACTAATATCGATATTAATACTAATATTAATACTGATACTAATACTAATACTAATATTAATATTGCTAATACTGTTACTAATCGTAATCCTACAAATACTAATACTGATACTAATACTAATATTAATACTAATACTAATACTAATATTAATATCAGTACTAATACCATACTAATGTTCATACTGATACTAATACTAATTAATATTAGTATTAAAGTTAATATTAATACTAATACTAATACTAATAGTGATACTAATATTGCTATTCGTAATGATACTGATACTAATACTTATATTAATACTAATACAAATACAAATATTAATACTAATACTACTACTAATACTAATACTAATACTAATACTAATACTAATACTAATACTAATACTAATACTAATACTAATACTAATACTAATACTAATACTAATACTAATACTAATACTAATACTAATATTAATACTAATATTAATACTAATACTAATAATACTAATACTAATAATACTAAATTACTAATACTAATACTAATACTAATACTAATACTACTACTACTACTAATACTAATACTAATACTAATCCTAATACTAATGCTAATGCTAATGCTAATGATAATGCTAATACTAATGCTAATGCTAATACTAATACTAATACTAATACTAATACTAATACTAATACTAATACTAATACTAATACTAATACTAATACTAATACTAATACTAATACTAATACTAATACTAATACTAATACTACACTAATACTAATACTAATACAAATATTAATTCTAATACTAATACTAATATGTTAATATTGTTAATGTTAAGGCTAATTTACATGTACTAATGCTAATAATAATTTTTATGCTAATGCTAATCTGGATATGCTAATGCTAATTATAATTGTGCTCCTAATATTATCCAAATCCTTATCATATTCCTAATCCTATTCATAACACTAATCATAATCAAATCCCTAATCATATTCCTAACACTAATCATAATTCTAATCATAGCCCTAATAATTTTAATACTAAATAATGCTAATGCAAATGCGAATGCTAATTATAATGTTAATTCTAATTATAATTCTAATCTTAATTATAATTATAACCTTAATGCTAATTATAATCTTAATACTAATACATGTCACTAATTGTTGTACTAATCATAATTATAATCTTAATTGTAATTTTAATACTAATATTAATGATAATCCTTATCCTAATCCTAGGACTCCTTCCAATACTATATTAATCCGACTCCTAATCCTAGTTTTAATACTAATACTAATTCAAAGAATATTAATTATGATCCCAATTCTAATGCTAATACTAATCACAATCCTAATTCTGATTTTGTATCAATATTTTTTGCAATGATCTATTATTTTGTATAAAAAATAATTATATTCAATCTCGCAACATTTATATCAACTTCCTTGTGTGTGATAGCTGAAGCATCCAAAAACACATATTAAATATATTAGAAATTAATATTTGATTATATTATCAAACTGCCATTAAAATTATTTAAATTATAAGGGTATAACCAAACGTTAAGACGTAAAAAAACCAATAATCGTTGTTAATAGGATAAATTATGAAATTCTCCTGAACTTGGGCTAAATTATGGAAAACCCCCCCATTTATCGGTAATTACTAAAATTTCCCCATGTTTGTTTCTTTTTTCCACGACCCCCTTAAGGTGTGATTTTTTACGGAATCTTTTTTTTTCCATGTAATATCCATAAAAATATGGATTCTATCCTGGTAGACGGGACATCTCTTTTATCCTACTTTTAAAATCCCCAAATTCCCCTTCGGAGGGGGGGGGGGGGGGTAGTTGTAATATTAAAAAGCTTGTGAAAAGTGTTATTTAAGAAGAATAAATTAAGATTCCGTGTAAAGTCTCCCTTATGGTAATTTTTGTCGCGTGTGCAAGGTAGAATCATCATTTTTGGGGGAATATTCCAAGTAATAAAAAAAATCCGTGAAAAGTTATACTGTAAGAGGGTTGATGTAAGACGGAAACGAACATCATAGAAATTTTGGTAATTACAAATATGTGAGGGTGTTTTTTCTTAACTTAGCCTAAGTTCAGGGTGATTTCCTAATTTATCCGTGTTAATATACAACTTAAATTGATTTACGCGTATGGCCATATGTTAGAAACTAACATAAAGGCTGATGGTAATGAAAATAGATCAAATTTCAAGTAAACAAAAGTCACTAAAAATGCTTATATAAATAATAAGTGGAAAAATAATAAATGATTTTTTGTTTACGTCAGTCGAATATATTGTGATTTAAAAAAAAATAGAGATATAGAATCGATATTAGATTCTTATAAACATTATAAAATAAATAATTTTATTTTATAAATATTTTCAATATGTAAATTAACAAAATAAATATATCTTATTATATATGATGAGGAAATAGAAAACTTAAGAATATTTCACTAATTTACATACATAACTTGTAATTTAGACAAAATAAATCATGTTGATACTTTTGAGTTGGAGTTGCTCTAGATATGTACTTAATTATTTTTATCAAAGTTATAGAGAAATACTTATAGTAGAATACGGTATATAGTATATATGATCATTATACATTTTAAACAAAACAATTGATATTCTTAATTCTTTGTATGAAATAAAGTGAATAAACGAATTTAATACCAAAGATTTAGAATAGTATTGTCATATTTTGAAATATATAAAATAAATATGTTTTTTATCAATTGATTAAACTTAACTTATGTTCTTCAATTTATTAGTATAATCATGAGAAAGTTTATATTTTAATTAGTATATAATTAAAAAAAAATTAAATCAATCATAAAATTTATTGTCACTGGATTCGGTGAAGAAAAAAGAAAAGTTAAAACAATAACATGAAATTCATGTAGTATAATTTTTAATATGATAAATAATTGGATAATATTACTACACACATGGGAGGAAAAAAATAGTGTCAATTTCCGCAATATAGTAAATTCGAACATGTATCTTTCTTTTATACAGATAATGTTAATACATAATATTAAATTAGTACAAACAAAACATATGCTCCGGTTGTGTTCATGTACAATGTATAATATATTACTATACAATACTTTATTCTGCCTATTTTTTTACTATAATCCAAATTT